GTTTCCAATGAATTTCACATGCTAGTGTGGCATCGTGGTTAAGGTATCGATAATATACGCTACCCGGGTTGGTATCCCTCTAGGGGTGTTGATGAGGCATAGGTGAGTTTTAAACTGCCCTCCATACTGAAACAGCAAAGATTTTTGGAAGCAAATCTATGTGAATTCATTGGAAACGTGTGGTCTATTCAGCTCACTGTGTGAAACTCCAAGTATCACCCCTTCATTACCTTTAACGGCGTTGGGGTGAATGCATTTCATATTATGTTTTCAGCGATTTTTGACACTAAAAAATTCATTATTAATATGATTCTTTAATTTTCTTACAAGTAACTTCTGTGTTTTTCATTGGTTGGCAGCAGTCGCTCATTTACCATTAAATTCAACACTTTATACTGCAGCATCTGTTTCCACAGCCCCATTGACTCCCTGCACGTTAGCAACTGACGAGTTGCTGATGCCAACGACATCAACGGCATCGACATCCTCGACTGTATCCACACTTGATGAAGCAACTAATCGACGGTCGGATACTAGAGCCATCTTTGGGCGCACAAAGTGGCGACGTAAAGGAAAATCCTGGCGTGCCCAAGTTGCGTGTGCCGTATGTGGATTAGCCTGCGCAGGCATGGATGAACTGAATCGTCACTTTACGCTGCAACATTCCCACTTAATAGCATTTGAATGGCGCCTGGCTCAGTATACCTGTGGACGGGCTTCCAAACTTTTGTTTCAGGTGTGAAATAATCCCACATCAAGGCGCAAGTTCTTTTTTAAATTAACGATACTACCGTTATTAATAATGCGCATAATAATCTTCTATTCATACTGAGTTCATAGAAGTCATACCTTTTCTTATACATGATGGATCGTACCCTTTCACCTAATTTTGTAGCCTCATAAAGGTCACTCAGCAATCTTGTTTTCTGGAATTACCTAATTCACAATAGAGCAGAAATCAAAGGCATTAGTATTTTCATTTAGGTTTACCGAGAAGATGCGTTCTTTAAGGCGATTTAATCCTCATTTTGATGCATAAAGCTAAGTTAGTTTTCTCTTCGTAGTCTAATCATGCTGTACCTGATATCGCGCCCTTCTCCATTCTAGTCTTGAGCACTTCAAGTATCGACTAGCTAATTGTGTATATTTTTTACATCCTATTTGGCACCATCATTGAGGGAAGGTATAAAAAGTGCTAAAAAAGACTCTTTAGACTGGATTTGCATCCCTAATAAGTGTCTCAAAGAATGCTCATAGGGATGTGTAGTCGCCTATTGACAGTATCATTATTCTTTCCGCCAAATGGCTATATAACTTGTCCTTTCCATTCATTATCTAAAAGGCAAGTTCAGACTAACCCGGTTCTCCCTTCCTACAACGACAACAGAATACATAATCAGAATATTGAAAATGTTTATTAAGTCTCGTTTAATGCTCTATGCAGTCACAAATCTTTGTGGAAGTAGAAATCATTACCTTGTTGAGATTCCCGAAATGAGAAAACGATCTCTTGGTTGAGAAAAAGATACGAAAGTAATCGTCTTGATAGTAGGAGTAATTTACTTGTGGATTTATTCAAAACTTCACGAGCGATTAATAAGACCAGCATTTAAGAGAAAGCCACAGAGATAGTAATGGATTCGGGTTAATACTTTATGATGTGGAAAGAAAGAAAGCTGTCTTAAATCGGTTGCAAACAAGGATGAACTATGCAATGGAGTATTAGGTTAACAAATAATAATTTATATTTTACCAATGATGGACTTCTTAAAGAGGACCTGTAGAAGAATAGAAAAATGCAGCACGAGGACTTTAATGAAGGATGCTTCTTTAATGGATCTGATTGGAAAAAAGTATAGATTTAAGATTGGAAGTTATGAGGAAGGGCTAAGTAAAGAGGATTACAGCCCATCAATAAAGTTCTATTTGCTTGAAAAGACCAATTCGAGGAAGACCTGTGAACTTATATGGGGTTGCGAGAAAATATATATCCTATATCAGTTAAAAAACAGCAAAGACCGTGACTTTACTCGAATATCGACACAAAAGACTAAAATTGGGATGAAATATCTAAAAAATCATCAATTTTCATGATAATTAATAACTGACGAGTCACGTAGATAAACAGATATAAGACAGCTAGGCAAAAATATTGATATATTGAGCCAAAATAATCTAGTATAGTCAATCATAGCATGGAAAATGGAAATCACTGAAACTTTCATATCATTATCTTTAAAATTTGGAGGAAACAAACAGTTAATAAACCATACAAAGGGAATTACTATCCATTGTATAAATAAACTTATTAGTCAGAAAGGATGAATATAAAAATAATATAGTCCGCTTATTTAAATAGTATTAATACTTTAGCTATATACATTATTAATAATGGCATATAAAATTACTCCACATCATATTAACAACCCCATCATTATGAAGTTTCATGGATTGTAAAGATTTCACCTAATATGTTGTTTAAAAAAAATACTAGCAATGCCCATTGTCATACCTTCAGAGCCTTGCCAGCGTCTAATATAACACATGACAGAGATATTATGGAAGGACTAAAACTAGCGGGATAAGCTGGGCGGATAGGTTAATACTAGATGAAGTGAGAGAAGATCTGAATCAATATCTATGACGGCAAATAACCTATCAGACTGAGAATAAGATAGAAAATCCAGGACTGGGAACATATTCCATGGGGCTAAAGTAGTGGGACCAATAGAGGATGTGAACAATTTCATATAAGAACATTAATTGGCATATTTCAGTAGATGGGACAAAAGCTACGCGATATACTATGATGATGTACCTCGTCAAAGATTCCATGTTAAAAGAGAAAATGTAAGAAGAAGAGGAATATGGGATTCGAATGTTCTCAGCTACTACGAATATGTTATTTAAAATGAGACCAAACTAGCAGTTTAGTCAAAAATAAGTGTATTTACTATATATTACAAGCACTTGTCATACAAAATTTTATGGTCCATAAGCATCTAAATCATCGCCAAATAAAACACTTGCGCAATTATTTTTAATACGAACCCTTAATCTATACTCTCTATCTTATAGGCTCAGCTTCACCGACTAAGGACAACAAAAGCCGAGAAAAAAGTTAATTCCTCAGAACCGAACGCGATTAACCAGAGCAATAAAAAAATCCAATCCATAAAGGAACTGTTATGCCCTTGTAACCTACATGATCCAGTTTTCAAACCGGCCAAATTGAAGGAACTTGCAAATTCGCAAAATATTTTAACAGAGTTAAATAACGCTACTTGTAAAAAAATGAACAGTAGTAAAGCATGCATTGAAAAAAATTCCACCAAGTCATCCTCAAACGCATATCCTTGTCCACGTTGTAATTATGTTGCTAAATGGCCAACTGAATTGCAGAAGCACGTTATGGTGCATGCCTCAATGCGTCCCTTTGTTTGCTCAGTTTGTGCCACATCCTATAAATGGAGCTGGGATC